GTTGCATAGTATTCCATTGTGTGTATGTACCATAGTTTGGTTATCCATTCCTCAGCTGATGGACATCGAGGTTGTTTTCATGTTTTGGCTATTGTAAATAGTGCTGCGATGAACATCGGCGTGCAAACAGAATCTATATTTTAAAGAGATCCCCGGGCGATTCCATATACCTTCGGTGGCAATGTAAACTCTCAGCAGGGGGTGAAACAGAATGAACCCGTTTGAAGACCTGATTATGCAGGAGTTACGGGGAGAGAACTTAGAGGAAGAAGTGCAGCTGGAATGCTACTTGAAAGCAAGAATGACTAGACTTTTAAGGAGTCTCACCTACTTTGGTCATATTGTTGTTATAAATGACCAGTCCCTGGAGAAGGATGTCTTGATAGCTTGATAAAGTAGAGAATCAATGAAAAAGGAGAGAACCTCAACAAGATGAACTGACACAGTGGCTGTAACAATGGGCTCAACAACATCAGGGAGCATGAGGCTGGTGCATAAGCAGGCAGTGTTTCGTTCAGCCTTACATACGTTGCTATGAGCTGAGCCAACCCAAGGGCACCTAGCAGCAACAGAAGAGGAGGGAGTGCAATGCTGGGGTTCTAGCCCCAAGGCATGCAGTATAAAGCACTACCTGTTACTACTACTACAGTGCTATTGAGGAGACTACCCAGAACGGGTGTGGAACTTGTCTAGAATCAGGCTGTTTGTAAACAGTAGATACAGTGATTCCAAGTCTGCATGTGCCCCTCTCAGCATGAGGTGTCACAGGACACAGTGCTGGATGATTACTCTCAAAGACAGTGGTCAGCGGAGCTGACTGTCCTATGATCCTGGCCGGTGACGGAGATGGATCAAAGTCTGAGTTCCTGTTGAAAGGAATTAGAAAGCAAGAGAAAGTGAGCAGAAAGGAAAAACCTCCTTGAATCTATAAGTGCCCTTGACTGCAGATACTCCCCATTCTCCTGACCCAGCATCTCATTCTCTCTTAGCTTTCGAGCAGCCATGAATCGTGGGAGAATCATTGCTCTTCTCCATATGCACCACGAACAGTAATGGATGATGGTCATGATGATGATGGCTTTTTAACTGATTTTAATGTTTAAAAGAGGTCGTGAATCGAGACTCCTCCCTATGAAAACTATTTGCATCTCAAATAACACTATTTTAATCTTTTACTCAAAGTCCTAAAGTAAACCCAAGATTTTTCACCTAATTATGCTCTGACCTTTGAACAATTAAACACATTTTTTTAGCTTTGCTATCCCCAAAGATAAAATGAATCCATTAGCCTCAACACCTGGAAAGCAGCAAGTTTTATTTTTTAGAGGAAGCATATAAAATGTTGAAAAGTATCTCATTTTTAATTAGGAACAAGGAACTTAAAACTTTATTTAACTCATTTGACAAACAACAGCAAATATTTTTTAGTTCCACAGTGTGGTCAGCGAATAACATAGCATACACACTGTCTGCTACCACACATACCACAAACCTTAACGCCTAGTAGGAGCTCTGGTGGCATAGTGCCCGAGGCATTTGGCTGCTAACCAGAAGGCTGGTGGTTCAAACCCACCAGCCACTCCTTAGAAGGAAGATTGGGTAATCTACTTCTGCAGAGATATCACTTCGGAGACCAAGGAGGAGTCGCTATGAGCCAGATCCGACTCAACAGCAATGGGTTTAACACGTAGTGGCTGGAAACAACAGATGTTTATTACCTCAGTTTCTGTGGGCCAAGAATCTGGGGGCAGCTTAGCTGCCTCACTCAGGCTCAGGGTCTCAGGAAACTCAACCAAGGTGTCAGCCAAGGCTCCAATCCCCTCGAGGTCCACTGGGGTCAGACCCACTTACCATCTTAGTCATGGGCCGCTGCACAGGGCTGCCTCACAGCTGGGTGTCCTCAGAGCCAGTGATGTGAGAAGGGAGCACCCTAGACAAGGCAGTGTCTTAATGGCCGAATCGCAGATTGATTTCACAGCCCTTCTGCCATATTCTGTTTTTTAAAAGCAAGTCAAACAATTCATCCCTTGGTTCAGGGGAGATTACTAAGGCCTGAATACCGGAGGAGGAGTCCCTGGGCAGGCAGTGAAAGTATAGAAACACAGACGGAGCTAAGTGAGCTTGATGGAAAGGGACTAGAGACAGAGTTCTGGTTTTTATAGGAATTTATCCAGGAGGAAAATTAAGTCCAGCCTTTTAACTTAGGCAATCTGATAAGTAGCAGAAGAGTTTAGGGGCTGTTCTCTTCAAGCAGGGCCTCAAACCAGTTCATTCTGGTTCAACCCTCTGCTGAGAATTTGCCTTTCCACTCCAGATAGACTGCATCAGAATCTAGCTTTGAACGAGATCCCTGGCGAGTGTTATTCATACATTGAAATGTGTCTGTGTGTACCTAAGAATCACCTGGGGATCTTGTTCAACTGCGGATCCTGACTGAGCCTCTCAAGTGGAGATGCAAATTCTCAGGGGACGAGGGACCAGAATGAACCGGTTCAAAGCCCTCTTCCAGTCTTCCAGCCTTTTTTCTTTGCAGACTTCACATTCCCTGTTTCCGTAGGTCATGGGAGATCAAGAGCTACCTGGAGTTTTGGTTTCTTCGTTTGAAGGACCAAAAAGCATATGTGAGGACCATGTTGGAGAGCTGCAGAAACACTTCAATCTTATTACCATGCAGGACTTTGTGAAAAATAAAACACGCCTCAGTAAAAATATCCTAGCTGTCTACGTGTGGGCAGGACATCCAGTTATTGACGAGGAGCTCCTGCAGAGCCTGCCTGCCTTGAAGCTTATCGCCAGTGGAGGAGTGGGCCTGGATCACCTGGACCTGAAGCTCATTGCTCGCTATGGTGTGAAGGTGGCCAACACGCCACAGGCAGTCTCCAGCCCCACCGCAGACATGGGAGTGGCCTTGTTGCTGGCTTCTGCCCGGAGGCTGGTGGAAGGTAAAATTAAAGCTGTTTGTTTACCAAAGAAATGCACTGATGAGTATTTACCAAGATATGTGTTAAGATAATATAAAAGTATGTAATGAATATCTTCAAAACACACATTTTTCGGGTTGTCCTAATGTCTCCATAGGAGCTCTGGTAGCATAGTGCCTAAGGCACTTGACTGCTAACCAGAAGGCTGGCGGTTCAAACCCACCAGCCACTCCTCGGAAGGAAGGTTGGGCAATCCTACTTCCATAGTGATACTGCCTCGGAAGCCCAAGGAGGGGTCGCTATGAGTCGGGGCCCATTCGATGGCATACAACAACAGCAACAACGTCTCCATAGAGTGTCTATGACTTTTCTCACTTGAGAATTGGGGCCTCTGTTGGTAGCTTGCAGCCTGCAGTAGTGCCCAAGCCTGACAACCTCAAGCAAATATATTACACAGTTTTCTGGTTGCCAGCAGTTGCTTCCCACCCCCTCCCAAATTTCACTCACCTGCATACCAGATAGAAAGATGTATGTATGTTTGTGTGAAGGGATTTCAGAACCAGTATGGGAATGTCCTTGGAGCTCACTCATTAGCAGGTCAGGCTTGCTACCCTGGGGTCAAGAGCTATAAGTGATAGGTAGAATCCCATCTGTTTACACTGAGACATCTCTGGGATTGGCTGGGAAAGATGATGTACCAACTCAAAACTTCTCCCGTCCTCCCCAGGTGGAGACTTGATGTGAAGTGTTTGAGAAAAGAAGCAGCTAGACCAGGTCTACTCTATTTCTGGCTACTGGTTAACAGACAGACAGACACACACACACACACACACACACCAACAACTCATATCAACCAGAAAGCCTTTCTGAAAGTGAAAGAAGTTGCTGTTTTAAAGCATTGTACCATGAGGCTCTGACCTCATTAGAGAAAACTACCATTTGTTCCCATTATCCGTGTCTTGTAGAAACGAATTTGTTTCTTGCCGTACAGGAACGCATGAGTGCATGTGGTCCACAGCAGGCATGCCACAGCTGGCCACTCTGCCAAAGGCCAAATGAGAACTGTGAGGAGCTAAGTGTGTCGTTCCCATTGCTCACTCTGGGCCTTGTACACCTTGTAGGTCACCAGCTGGTACATTCACCAGATGCAGAGAATTTTTCGGTTAATTGGATGGGGCAAGAAGTGACAGGGGCTACCCTGGGAATCATCGGCATGGGTACCATCGGCTACAAGGTCGCTCAGAGGGCCAAAGCCTTTGAAATGAAGATTCTGTATCACAATAGGACCCGCAGGTAAAATTCAGAAAATGGACTTTTGAATTAACTGAGCAGCCCTTGTATAAGTACGACCTTAACTATTGTTTAGATATGATGTTCCTCAATACCTCATAAGTCTCTCATCTCTTCTAAGAGGTAGAATTGATGATTGACAGAGCGACTGGTATTTTGATGATTAATTAGAAATGTGGTTGTAACTCCTAGTCAGTGAAAACATTTCACCAGAAGAAAAGGGAATTTTAACGCACCTACGTAGTGTGTGTTCTTTATTTCTGAAATAATTTATTATTTTACCATAATAATTTATAATTTATTATTTTTACCATAGAAGATGCTGTCTTCCACACCTACTGAACAACTTGATTGGTTCCTTTAATACTGCATTATCTATACTCATAAAGGAGTCCTGGTGGTGCACTGGTTAAGTGCTCCGCTGCTAAATGAAAGGCTGACAGTTTGAACCCAGTAGCCTCTCTGTGGGATAAAAATGTGGCACTCTGCTTCCATAAGGATTACAGCCTTGGAAACCCTATGACTCAGTTCTACTCCGCCCTGGATGGTTGCTATGAGTCAGAATTAACTTGATGGCAATGAGAATATGTACTTACGTCTTTTTTCCAAAGTTTATGAAACTTACACAGCTTCCCAAACCAGACAGCAAGAACTGCCCATCCGGAAGCCCACCAGCATGCCCTTATTTGGCCACATTTGCTCATACTAAGTGACAGAAAAAGCCTCCCCACTCGGTGCAAGTTGTAGTTTCAGGGGAGATTGTCTCACCACCCAAAGGAATGTGCATCATTTCATGATGGCTCTGAGATTTATGTCCCCAGCTGGCCTTTCACTTACACCCCAAACCTTTTCTCTGGGCTTTCCACACACATATCCAATTGCTCTTACCGACAACTTAAATTTTCATGTTCAAAGTTGCACTCTTAACCTTTGCACCCATACTTGGTTAGCCCTCTCAACTAAGTTATCATCTTCTTGGTGAATCGCACCACCACCCTCTCAGTTAATCTAAAATCTCAGAGATCATTCCTGATTTCTCCCTCCTTTCATGACCCAACTCCTCTATCCAATATCAAGTCCTGGTGATTCTTTCCCCAAAGTACGCCTTGAACCTGCTTGTTTCCCTTGAACTTCTCGGATTCTACCTTAGCCCATCATTTCATATCTGTCCTACAGCAATATCCCCCTAGGGCTGTTCTCACATTCACTCTTGAACCATCCAATCCATCCTCGACAAAGTAGCCATTGCTTAAAACCCTCTAATGGCTTCCCACTGCATATAGAACAAAACCAAATTCCTTACCAACAGCTTCAAGGCTTTATATAATCTGGCCTCTGTCTCTGTTTCCCCGGGGGTTTTTCATCTTTGTTGGGTCATGGACCTTTATTGGTCTTATGATGTTTATGGACCTGGGTATGGATTGAATTGTGTCCCCAAAAAATATGTGTTCTAAATCCTAATTCATATACTTGTGGCTATAATGTCATTTGGATGTGGGGTTTCTTTGTTATGTTAATGAGGCAGTATTGGAAATAGATTGCCCCATCTTCCTTCTACAGAGTCTGTAGTGGGTTTGAACTCCCAACCTTCTGGTTAGCAGTCACATACTTTAGGCACTATGGCACCAGAGCTCCTTTAGTGCAGGGTAGGGTTCGTCTAAGCCAATCATGTTTTGTGACATAAAAAGATCAGGTCAGGCACAGAGGACACAAGCAGAAATCAGGGAGGATGGATGCCACACCACTTGAAGATGCTCAAGAAACTGGGGAAAAGAAGCTGTAAAGACCCAGGCACCTCCCCCAGAACATAAAGAGAAAGAGAGCCTTCCCCTATACCTAGCAACCTGAATTTAATCTTGTAGCCTCCTAAATGCCGAGACCATAAACTTCTGTTTGTCAAAGCCGCCTGCTTGTGGTCTTTCTGTTACAGCAGCACTAGAGCCCTGAGACAGAGCCCTGCTCAGGATATCTTTAGATGCATGAAATGAACTACATCATGTACTGTGTCTCATATATTATCAATTATACTGAAATACAGTTTTTCAATATTAAGAAAATACATTCTGTGCTATGCAGGTACAGGTGCCTGGGGCTCTTTCGCAGAGTATCTGTGCCGTCTCGGGCATGCCTGTTCCTCTGTGCCACCCCTGCCCATAGACACATGTGATAGAAGAACATGTGTGCAGTTTTGTTATTCCACGTTTGTAAGTCAGTGGTGGTTACCCAGGAATGCTGTGAATTTCTGTGAGTAATCAGCTGTCTGGGATGGCCAGAGTAGGAGTTAAAATTGGGCCCCAAACCAGTCAAAACCAAAACAAAACCCAAAATCTGGACTGCATCAGACCCTTTGCTTCTTGCTCACCATACATCACTCCCAGGCTCTTCCCTGTTTGGTATTGAAAGAATCTTGGTTGTTTTTGCCCAGCCTCAGGCACAATTGGAAGCATGTGTGATGTGTGACTGGACTCTGGGCTCACTGGGCTCCAGGGGCCCAAGGAGCTCAGGTCTGGAACAGCCGCTGCCTGTGGCTTCTGGGGGCAAATGCTTCGGAACTTTCCAAGGGTCAGTTGGGGTTTCTGAGTGGCTGGAAGGTCCTGATGCCTGGACTCTGGGCAGAGCCTAGGTGCTCAGGGGCTGCATGGCAGTGCTGAGGGGAGGCTCTCTCTCCGAGATTCCTTCCTAGGTGGGCTTGCCCTCCTCGGGGGCCCTCGGGCAAATTTCTGCCTAGAGAAGGTGACTAGTCTCCCTATGCTGTTGTAGGAACTTGGTGGAGGAGAAGGCCATTGGAGCCACTTACTGTGAGCAGCTGGACGACTTGCTGCAGAGGTCCGACTTTGTGATGTTGGCAACTAGTCTGACGCCCCAGACCCGGAACATGATTGGCAAGAGGGAGCTGAGACTGATGAAACCCACTGGGATTCTCATCAATATCGGCAGAGGTAGCCACACCCCACTTGTTAGTGTTAGGCACAATAGGGTGCTGCTCTGTCTGCTCAGGAAATCACACAGGAGGGTTCCCTAGCTGTATTTGTGACACTTCCTGCCACATTTTTCTGGAATAGTGTTTTTGGTTTAGCAGACCCACCCAGATTATGGGGTGCAACAAATGCACTGCCGTTGAGTCGGATCTGACTCATAGCAACCCTGCCTTGGGTTTCTGAGGCGGTATCACTATGGAAGTAGATTGTCCAGACTTCCTTCTGAGGAGTGGTTGGTGGATTTGAACCACCAGCCTTCTGGTTAGCAGTCAAAATGCCTTAGGCACTACACTACCAGAGCTCCTTGACTGTGGATGGGTGAACTAAAAGGAACTTTGTTCCTGATTTTTGTCTTCACAGTTTTGAACCTCAAATTAGTAAAAAAAAAAAAAAAAAAAAGACAAGAGTGCTTCAATGTGGGGATGTACAACCCAAGGTCAGGCATTTATTTGGGGTGGGGATGTCACAGTTTGATCCTCTGGGGGTAATTAAACAAAATGCATGGGATGAATTTTCTGAGCCATCAATTCCCAAAACTGAAGAGTACTACTCTGATAGTTTGGCATTTACATAGTGCTTTATATGTTTAAATACAGGAGGTAGTTGGGGCTGGCCTAGAGCTAAATGTAAGGGTGAGTTGACTAGGCATTTGCTAAAGGTTCTCTTGACACAGGTGAGTGAAACATGTACAAGCATCAAAGGCTTCTGAGGGTCTGGGGGTCAAGGTCATTGGAGTTAAACCTGGCACTATCACTAACCCCACTGTACTCTACTTTCCTTGAGCTCTCTCATCTGTAAACAGGACAGCAAGGTTACCATAAAACCTCACAGGATTGAGTTACTATATTTCAAAGTTCTCTGGAAATTTAGACCCTTCAGATAATGGAAAGGGATTGGTGCATTATGGAATTACAATAAGCAACATCATGATAAATGGAAAACTGATGGAAGTTGTCAAGGATTTTCTTTTACTTGGATCCATAATCAATGCCAATGGAAGCAGCAGTCAGGAAATCAACTGACAGATTGCATTGGGCTCCTTGCTGCAAAAGACCTCTTTGAAGTATTAAAGAGCAAAGATGTCACTTTGAAGACTGAGGTGTGCCTGAACTATAAGCCATGGTACTTTCAATAACCTCATATGCATGTGAGAGCTGGACAATGAATAAGGAAGACCAAAGAAGAATTGATGCATTTGATTGTGGTGTTGGTGAAGAATATTGAATGTACCATGGACTGCTGGAAAAATGAACAAATCTGTCTTGGAGGAAGTACAGCTGGAATGCTCCTTAGAAGTGAGGATGGCCAGACTTTGTCTCTGGTATTTTGATCATGTCATCAGAAGGGACCAGGCCCTGGAGGAGGATGTCATACTAGGTAAAGTAGAGAATCAGCAAAAAAGGGGGAAGGCCCTCAACGAGATGGGTTGACATAGTGGCTGCAACAATGGGCTCAAGCATGGCAATGGTTCAGAGGTAGCACAGGGCTGGACAGTGTTTTGCTCTGTTGTATATAGTGTTGCTATGAGTTGGAACTGACTTGATGGCACCTAACAACAACTCAATAGTGTCAGGGTAAGGGCAGGGTAAGCATATCAAAAATTCTGAACAAAAGCACCCCAGCAAAGGGAGGAGAGGGGGCCTCCATTCCCTTGGCAGGGAGGAATGAATGCCTGTGGATGGCCAGGGAGGCAGCTGCTTGGAGACCATAGTGGGATCCTCACATGGGTTCCTTCTTGACTCCTGCTGTTCAAACATGTGCAATAGTTTGTATTTGAAATAATAATAGTTTATGAATCACATTTGTGGCTGTTTAGTTTTCAAATATGTGTCTAAACCTACTAGGAGTCCCTGGGCAAATGGTTGATGCACTCAGCTCCTAACCGTGGTGATTCGAGTCAACACAGATGTGCCTTGAGAGACAGGCTTGGAGATCTACGTCCACCAACTCAGCCACTGAAAATCCTATGGAGCACAGTTCTACTCTGACACACATGGGTCGTCATGAGTCATGATTGACTAAAGAGCAACTACTATTTGGGAACTCCGTCTTCGAAACTCAAAATCTATGACAATTTTTGGGAGGTGGTGTGGTAAAAGCAGATGAGCTGACACTTTGGATCAGACAAACCTGGGTTTGAATCTGGAATCCGTGCTTTAGAAGCTGTGTCATCTTGGGTAAGTTGAGTAACCTATGGGCGTCAGTTGCCTCGTCCAGAAAATGAATACTGACCTTATTGGTTTATTTGAGCCCTCAGTGAAGTGTAATATATGTGAAGGACACCCTCCCTGACACCTGATGGGCTCTTATTACTGGTTTGGAATAATAATCCAGGCAGTATGATGTTCACATGCAATAACACCCTCAGACATGTTATTGGAAAAAACTATGATGGACTTGAATGAGTAGGTGATGTGGCCAATACTTCTCTTCTGTGTCTTGTCTAAACATGGTGACTACAGAGGAACTATTTCTCTTGATTCAGGTCTATTAGTTGATCATGATGCCCTGCTGGAAGCTCTTCAGACTGGGATGATTAAAGCAGCTGCATTGGATGTGACATACCCCGAGCCCCTGCCAAGGTGACTAAATAAAACAAAATCTACAAATCCTTCTTGAAATAGGTAGAGGCAAAGTCCTCAGGTAATGGCTTCATTTGGCTTTTGCAGCCTTCATGAGTCATGGAACTAGAGAATCCTGGAGTTGGAAGGGCCCGAGGAATGCTCTAGTGGTGCATCCCCCTCAGGGTAGGAGGCACACCTCCCACAGACTGCACCTAGCCTTACTTCACCCCCTTGTAAATACCTCCCCCCATAGACTACTCCTTCTTACATTGAGCCAAAATAGTCCTCCTCTTTACCATTGATCCTGGCTTGCCTCTGGTACATCCAAGCATAAGTGTGGTCATTCTCTCTTACAGATCTTCATATATTTAAAAACAGTGTGCTTCATCTTGGTTTTATTTTGTGAGGGTAGCTACCCTCATGCCCTTCAATTGTTGCCTAAGTGATGAGTTCTGGACAAATTGCCATTGTTATTGTCTTCTTCCTAGTGCTTTTAGTTGTCGAGGTCCTCTGAAAACATGCTCCTGAGAACCGAACACAGTTCTTGTGTTGTGGCTGGACCTTTGTAGGACAAGATAACAAAGGCTACATTAGCAGTATGTTTTCTAGCAGTCACATCACACCCTAACTCATCAAGTTTTTAGTCATCTAGAAATTGTTATTCCCTCAGTCGATTTTTAAAATTTATATGTGGACTTTTCCATTGATTTCTATTTAATGTCATCTGTTGGTATGTTTTGGGTCAATGATCCAGCCTGTTAAGACTGGAGTCTTTTTTCTGTCATTCATTAAACTAGCTCCTAACTTTGATTTCTGTCTAGTTAGCAAATTACTATCGGCTGAATATTGTACATTAAAACCAAATTTAAAATCCAAGTTTATCAAGACTCACCATCGAACTTATAGAGACTTCTAAGAAAACCACTGATTGATCTAGAGTGGAGGTTCTGGGGTTCTGCAAGACAAAGCTGTTTTTATAATATTCTGAGATGTTATTCACCTTTCCACTCATGTTTTCTCATGAGTGGGTGGGAAGTTTTCCAGAGGCTAATGACATGATGATGTCATCACTCTGATGGCTAATGTCCTGTGTGCCTCCATGTTATTATGTTTGAATTTCTAATACAGTAAATGCCACTAGATATAACCCACATAACAAGAGTTCTCTGGAGTCCTCAGTCTTGGAGAGTGTAAAGAGGTTCTGAGGCCAAAAGCTTGAGAACCACTGATTTAGAACAAAAACTAATTTCAATATAAATTAGAAATTATGATCATTTTAGACAGCTAGCCATCAACTTACTCTAAAACCTAGAAGTTATTTGTCATCCCTGTTGCCCTGTTCTGCTAAAGTAAGCTGTTTATTAGATCCATCATCAAGTCACAGGACACATATCCCAAAGTTTAGTTTAGTTGAATTAGTTGTGCACACTCAGTGCTGCATGTGAAATCACTTTTGTAGCCAAGAGATTTAACATTTATTTTATGAATAATTTAATGTTTAAATAATCATATTGATTTCTAATCTCTATCTTATCCTTATCAAATATTTTTGAGTTTTCATCTTTACTGTCTTGGAGAGAAATTTTATTGCTGCTTACCACAGGCATGCTCTACTGTGAAAAAAATAATTTAAAAACTAGGAAATTTGGAGTTGCAAATTCAAGTCATAGTAGCATCAGAACCTTTCTAAGTTTGGGTGTGTGTGTGTGTGATAATGAGAATCACCATCAGCCCAAAGCAATTCCTATGAGGCAGAGGTTAGACATAGCTCCGCTCTCCAATTCTGACACCAGTCATCCCTCTCACAGCGCTCTGTATTTCTCTTCTGGGTTCAGTAATCTGTTGCAATGGCCACACAGAACTCACAGACCATACTTACAGTTAAGTGATTTATTAAGGGAGCAGCAGAGTACAACTTGGGATCAGGATTAATAGGCTATACCTCAGGATCTGAATCAGGAAGTGTGTAGGCAAAGTCAGAGGGGTTCCCTGAAGAGGAGAGCACGTCCCTGCCTTTTTCAGTGCAGGACAGCTTGCTCAGCTGCTATTGGTCACGCAAGCAAGCAGGGCCCTTTCTTTGCCATGCAGGCTTCCTCTCAGCTCCCTCAGGACCAGCCTCCTCTTGGCCCATTCCACATAGGCCTCTCAGCCTTGGGACTTCTTGTCGCCATCACTGACTGCTGCAGGGTCCTTTCTGGGGATGTTGCATCTTCAGTGTTACAGCCCTTGACGTGTTATAGCTCTTTTAGGAGACCCCTTGCCTCCTGTCTCTGCTGCTTTCTTCCTTCTGCTTCTATCTGCTTCCTGCCTTGTCTCAAAAACTTCTGTGGGGTTGGCTGCACAGATAGACAATTTCCTCATCAATTTCAAGGCATGGCATTCCTATCTCTTGGAAGGCCACAGATACTTCATTTGCATAGTATATTGACCAATCTGTGTAAGGTACATACCAATCACAGGACAGACAACAGGTATCAAACTACATATTGTTTACAGCTTACTTGGAAAATGTCAGTCCACCTGGACAAAAGTAATAAACCCACTGAGGTAGAAAACTAGGGCACAAGTAACTCCTTAAGGCTTAGGGGACAGATCTCTCAGGTTGTTTATCTGAAGGACCAAGGCAAAAGGCCACATAAAGGAACTCATTTCACCACAGGGATTTTTTAGTCATACTACATAAGTAATCTTTGTTTTACAAAAAGATTTACTGTAAGATTATAGCAAAAGGAAAAAATTCATTTACCAGTGGTGCTGGGGGTCTCCAAGAGCACTCTCAGTTCTGGTGATTCTCTAGAAGGGTCACAGAACTCAGAAAAGTAGTTACGCTCACAGTTACAGTTTATTACAGTGAAAGGGTATGATTTAAAATCAGAAATGGCACAAGATGTGTAAGTTCAAGCCCAGGAGAAACCAGAAACAAGCTTCTGCTTGTCATCTCCCAGTGGAGTCATCAGCATAACACTTACTTCTCCCAGCAACAGTGTGTGACTTGTGTAAAGTGTTGCCAGCAGGGCTGCACCTCTGTGCCTTTGTTTCCAGGTTTTTACTGGGGGTCAGTCAGTCATGTAGGCACAGAGCACCAATGTGACTGATCTTAGCTACAAAGTCTCCAGCCTTGGGCAGAAGTCAACCTGATACAGCATGGCCCGGGGCCCCAAGGAAACAAAACCAGACATCCATCATAAATCAAATTGTTAGCTTAAACTGTCTGGCATGGATCAAAGATTTAAGCATATAATCACTCTCCCAAGGGCTCAGAGATTACCCCTTAGGAGCCAGTCAAGGACCAGTCTTTCCTCTGGAGTGTTCAGAGTTTAAGCGTCCAAACCCACTGAGTTCACCATTCACTGTACAGGCCTACCCTCTGGCCTTTGGCTTAGGGTTTCTTCTAGCAAAGTGATCGTATGTACGGGCATGTACATTTAGTATAGATAGCATTTGTATAAAAGATACAGCAACAATATCAGTATGAATATTGCTAACATTTGGAGGACTCAATGTGGGGTTAGGAAGATTTAAAAGAACAATTAATATGTCCTATAAGGCCATTATATGGATTTTCATATTTTTGTACTAATTTGATTACTCATTTCCACCTTGATCCACTGCTTTCTGTGTCTTATAATAAAAGTATATAGAACTATTTAGCCCAGAAATTAGCTGATTGCTAAATCCAGTTCTTCAGTTTGTCATTTTCCATTGGTATTATATCCTTGAGAGGCTTTAACACCATCTCCCAATACATTCAATCATCAGTATCAGTATTATTGTATGACTGACAACGCCAGTATTACACCATACCATAGTGTGGTCATGGCTTTCAGTTTCATTACAGAACAGATCAATAAGAATGACAGAGGTATCTGCCTGGCTCATATACCAGATATTATTATAGACAGGCATTACAACTGGCTATGACTCGGTTATTTCTGGGTTCCAAGTGAACTGGAGACAAAGTCAGTCCCCTGTCACAGCTCATAAGTTTTACTGAGAGTGGTTTACATTGTGTACTGTTATATAGCAAAGCCACCTCTCTCCCATGGGAAGGACAGGTATGGCATTCAGTATATACTATAAACCAAAACCAAACCCATTGCCACTGAGTCAACTCCAACTCACAATGACCCTATATGATAGAATAGAACTTCCCCATAGGGTTTCCAAGGCTGTAAACTTTACAGAAGCAGAATTCCTCATCTTTCTCCCACAAAGTGTTGGTGGGTTTCAACTGTCAACCTTTTGGTTAGCAGCCAAATGCTTTAACCACTGCATCACCAGAGCTCTTGAACTGTACTATTAAGAAACAAAACAAAACAAAACAGGAGGCGGGGCAAGATGGCGGACTAGGCAGAAGGATTGCACAG